CATTTTATCACACTAGCGCCATCTATCTTTGTACGTAAATTCTTGCTACTAAGTGTCATCCATCTTTTCATATATGAGTCGCAGTTAAGAATGCAAACGTATATTTGGGTATTGTGCGACTCTGTGATATAGGGTCAACAAAAACTTTTTTGTGGTGTCAAAAGAAGAGAATTATATGTAGAAGAAATATGCCGAAGAAAAAATAAGTTTACAAAAATTGTTCATTAAGATGATATGTGAAAATGTGTAAAGTAATTTGGTGTTTATGTCACGCGATTGTGTTCTGTGCGATATGACGCAAAACGACGCGTGTGTCAGTGTTGAGCCATGAGCGGTTGTTAGAGTTGAGCCACCCGAAATTATGCAATTAAAATAAGCGTACTTGCAACAGAAATTCATTTTTTCACTTAAAGAGGTGTTAAAAACTTCATTTCCATTGAAAAGAAAGGAAAAAAATTTTTTGATAACCTTTTTTCATTTTTTCAATTTTGGATTTTGTTCATGAGGAATAAATTATCTAAAGTTAGGTATATTTGTTAGGTATAATATGGGATTTTATTTTAATTTCATGGTTCCTTTCCTCATTCCAAAGTGTCATTCAATCATTTGAAGGTCATTTTTAATCATTTACCTAAATATTTCATTGATTTTCTACAGTGGCCCAACTCTGGCAACCATGTTCAACTCTGACAACATTTTTTGTTTTATTTAAGATATTTAATTTATTTAGTAAAAAAAAAAAAAATTGATTCGGATAATTGATAGCTTCTTTCTTCTTAATATTTAACTGCCGAATGATAAATTCACTTTCTATAATTATAATTGCCTATGAATTGAAATACTAGGCTTACCATCTTTAAGAAACTTCCTACGTTATCATTAAAATAACGTAGGAAGGGATAGTATATGTCAAAGAATTCGGAGAATCTCGGGGTGCATGTAGCTCAGTGGTCAGAGCAGTCTACCGGCAATAGAAAGGTCGTGGGCTCGTATCCCACCATGCTACCGTTTTTTTCTGGATTCTTTGATAATTTTGAAATTATTAATTAATTTCGAAAATATTTTTCAGATTAAGCAGGTTTCTGTATTCGGGCAGCTGTGCTGTCGATACATATGAAATCTAAGAGCTTATAGAGATTTATTTAAGATATTTAATTTATTTAGTAAAAATTTGATTCGGATAATTGATAGCTTCTTTCTTCTTAATATTTAACTGCCGAATGATAAATTCACTTTCTATAATTTTTTTTTAATTGCTTATGATTATATGTATATGAGTATGAGTATATGTGAAAATTTCTCTCCATTTTATATAAAAAATTTTATTCTTAAAAAATTTAGGAAAAATAAGTTATGTTCCGTTTTTTTTGTTTACGAATTTTTTATTTTTAATATTTTTTTAATTAATAGGGGAGATCGGGGTTGAAAGTGCCGATTTCGACAAAATGAAAGAAAACAATAGTAAAATAACAACTATTTGTTTTTATTTATGAACTATTTGGTGTAGAGTTTTATGTAGTTATTGAATTTATTTATACTTTTTAACAATTTTTCATAGTTTCCAATAAAAATATGTTATTTTGCAGCGCGGCGATGCGTTCCAACGACTCTCGCTGCGGGGCCGGTTGTGCCGACGCTGGGGCAGATTGTGCCGCATAGAGTTTTACCTTGTTTAAATTACAGCAAATGATATTATTTATTATAAACATGCAAATACACAGTAAATCAACATCAGAATAGATTAAAATAATATGCAACGATTTAATCCAAATTTTTAAGTTACGAATTTTCAAAAATTTTCGTTTTTTGAATGTTTTCTTTGACCTACTTTTTAATATCAGATAACTCGAAAAATATTGCTTCTTTCTAATTTTTGACAAAAGAAGAATAGTTTTGATTTCTTCTCTAGGGGAGACTAGGTGCAGTTGTTACAATTTTGATAAAAACAGTTACTGTGATTAGAGTTTAACTCCAATTTGTTTGGTCAAACGATTAAATCAAAGGTATATTATCTAGTTTTAAAAGGCCATAATTGATTTAGCTCTATGTCTATTATTTAATTAACTAGAAGCATTTGAGTGAAAGCGTGTAAATTATAACAACTGCACAAAGTAAATGTCGGTTGTTACAATACCAAAAATCATCTATAAAATTTCTAAATTGAAGACAAATAATTTTTTATAACCATTTTTATTAATTATTTATCATTTTTGGCTCAACGTAATAGTACGTGACAGTTCAATAGAGATGGCAGCATTAATATTGTTTCGAAATGAAAGAAACTTAAAAAAATTTTTTTTTTATTTATTTTGAAGACGAATTTAGAAAAACCATGAGATTTTTCACAAAAAATGAGTGTGATTACATTACATTTTTGACAAATATTTTACATTTCAAACAAATCTGCTGAATTTTATAAAAAATAACCGTTCTCATTATCACTTGTAACAACTGCACAACAGGTACATTTTTTACAATAAAACACTTTATTAAAAAAGTTTACACTAAATGTGGACAACCAAGGCAGTTTTTTAAAGCTTAATCCTCATAGAATTGATTAAAAAAATGAACTTTGTTAAGTATAAAGGTCTATTAATTATTTAAAAAATATCAGGCAGAGAAATATTTACTTTTGGCCTCTAAAAACCAATGTGCCTATTTTTTACTTGTAAAGCTTGCATATAATTTTTAAACATATTGCAGTAAGTTCGTACATAAAAACTAAACATTTTTCTCTTTGGAACAACTGCACAGCGTAACAACCGCATCTAGTCTCCCCTACTATTGAATAATATGTTAACAAAAAAATTTTCCCATTTTATACTAAAAAATACCAATTTTTTATGAACAAATTAAGTTTTTTTTAACTTAAGATATTCGATAAAAAAATTTTTTTGGTTAAAATGTACCTGAAAATACTAAGAAGTTTTTTCAAAAAATTTTAGAGTGAATCTGATAAGTTTAATGAATTTTAAAAAATAATTAATCTCCGCGTGCAGGTCGCTCGCACGCGGCATATTGTGCACCTAGATCAAAAAGCAGATTACACAGCCACACAAAAAAAAATAAAGTGTCTTGATCTGGGGTCGAGACATATGTATTCCGATGTATTTCGATGCGCTGAATCCGAATCCGCCATCAGAATTTGGCCAATGGGTCCTGGTTTCGCCCTAACCTCAAAAAATACCCTAAAATCATTAAAATTGTCACTTTTGATTTATCAAATTGAATCTAACCGCATATTGATAATTTTCTCAGATTCCTTAATGTAAATAAACTATTCTATAAGCTTTTTAATTCAAAATTCATATAAAACATTAAATCTATCGAACCTAACCTCAAAAACACATCTAAGCTTCCACACAAACAAATTATACCATACACAGCGCAATAAAAATTATGTAAGCTCATGAAAGTTACAACTTAGGTGTTTTTATGACTGCTGATTACGAAGCCGGTGTTAGTTTGTCAAAATTCAAAATGGCGGATCCAATATGGCGAACAATATAATTAAAATTTGTTTGGATTGGCTTGAAAATCGTTTCTCGGGGGCTTTTGGGGTCGCTGATGACGAATCCCATGTCGGTTTCTAAAAATTAAAAATGGCGGATTTAATATGGCGGTCTTTATTATTTTAACGATTTTTTAAAATTTATTACTCGCGGTTTTTCGGGACCTTTGATAATGAATCGTATATCAATTTTTATAATCTTAAAGTCGTACGAATTGTTAGAAAAAATTGTTAGAAAACAATTTGTAAGACTTTAAGGTAATAAAAATTGATATAGGAATCGTTATCAAAGGTCCCAAAAACCCGCGAGTAATAAATTTTAAAAAATCGTTAAAATAATAAAGACCGCCATATTGGATCCGCCATTTTGAATTTTTAGAAACCGACATGAGATTCGTCATCAGCGACCCCAAAAACCCCCGAGTAACGATTTTCAAGCTAATCCAAACAAATTTTAATTATATCGGTCGCCATATTGGATCCGCCATTTTGAATTTTGATAAACTAACACCGGCTTCGTAATCAGCAGTCATAGAAACACGTAAGTTGGAACTTTCATGAGCTTACCTATTTTTTATTGCGCTGTGTATGGTATAATTTGTTTGTTTGGAATCTTAGATGTGTTTCTGAGGTTAGGTTCGATAGATTTAATGTTTTATATGAATTTTGAATTAAAAAGCTTATAGAATAGTTTATTTAAATTAAGGGATCTTAGAAAATTAACAATGTGCGGTTAGATTCAATTTTGATAAATTAAAAGTGACCATTTTAACGACTTTAGGGTATTTTTTGAGGTTAGGACGAAACCAGGACCCATTGGCCAAATTCTGATGGCGGATTCGGATTCAGCGCATCGAAATGCATCGGAATACATATGTCTCGACCCCAGATCAAGACACTTTATTTTTTTGTGTGGCTGTGTTATTAAATGCCATTTTTTACTTTTTTTAATTTATTACATTTGATACAACTAATAACTATGTTTCACGTGGAATTTCCCATACATGTTGTATGTTCTCGCATTCTAAAAAATTGCCACTGACTGCGGCACAATTATCCCCGAGCAAAAGGCACAATCAGCCCCATTGCGCAGTGAAAAAAGGTCATTGATAGCTTCAACCATTTAAAAAATAGACCAAAAGTTGCACACCTAAAAATTTATACTAACATAGCGTCAAAGCACCAAGCTACTAACAACTGTTTATTTCGTGTAGTAAATGAAATTAAAATGGCTGCCAAAGGTGCGCAGGCGTAAAATAATACATCTCTCATTTCAAGTTTTTAAAAATCTTTTTTCGTTTTTGAGATATAAGCAACGGCACAACCTACCCCCGGCACTTTCAACCCCGCTCTCCCCTATTTTATTGCAAAAATTATTTTTAATATTTTTTTAAAATTAATATTATTGCAAAAATTGTTTTTTAGATATAAAAAAATAAATTTCATTCATATTTTTGTAAACAAAATTTTTTTTACTTGTCTATTTTAGAGTTTCAACCATGTTCGATCCTGGGGAGGAACTTTGCTGAGAACATTAAAGTCATGAGCCTTGTGTAATTTTAAAGTGGACCGGTGAAGAGTTCGATGAAAAAAACGTCCTCTCGCCGGCAAAGAAATTGAAGAAGAATAATTTTTTTTTATTGTCATTTCGACTTATTTTTAAAACGAAGAAACAATGTTCTTTCGTTCACCATTGGACATTATTAATAATAATCTCATTTCATTCAACGTCTCTTCATTATCAATAATATCGTTACAATTATTTTAATGAGAATATAATAATTTTGATAATAAACAATTTTTTAAAACTATTTTTTTATACTGAAAAATTTGGACGTTGAAAAAAATTGATGGGATGCGTCAATTAAATGTTTATTTACATCAATGTCAATTGAATGAGAGACGAAATTTAGTGGGACACTTTATGGAATTTAAAATTCCATTGGAGGAGTCATCATTAAGAAAAGAGAGGGGAGTGATTTTTAATTTTCAAAGTGTAACAAAACGTGTGTAATATTCACCTGAGTGGGAATAAAATGACGGCAATGCTGGTTTCAGTGGCGGAATTATCCAACATTTTCTCCGTACTTGCTGTTCTTATTTGCTTCTGTGGAATTGTTCTCTTCATTATGAGGTATGTAACATTGTTATTTATTAATTTTTGTTAATTTTTTTATTAAAATGAACAACTTAGGAAGCCACCTTCTTTTCAACCTAGGAATTAAAGTTGTATTTTTTTATTCCTAGGGAGTAAAATTGACCTTTTTTGCACTATGGAATTAAAAACTTTTTTAAAACTTCAGGATAAAGTAGTATTAAATTAAATTACCCAGGTTAGATTTTTTGGTCGGCCCATAGTTGGGTCAACTTTTACAAAGTCGGTCCAACTTCTCGTGTCAGAGGTTGGGTCAACCATACAGATGATAACGGTTCACCGTCTAATGGCGACGATGGTTGGCCCGACAACTCATAAGAAAGTTGGCCCAACTTAAAATGCATATGTTGTGCCAACCATACATTTCAATGGTTAGTCCAAAGACTGATGCCAATATTGGCACAACTTTAGATGCGTAAGTTGGGCCAACCACAATTTTCAAAGTTTGGCCAACTTTAACTGCCGACGGTAAAAAATTATTAAAAAACTAAATTATTTATACAATAACACGTTTTTATTTTCGGGAACATCAGATATAACCTTTACCTATTATTATTAAACACAATCTCATACATACATTTTCGAATATATCTAACGCTCGCTGGGATCGAACCTTAACCTAACGCACCAAAGACTTATACACTAAACACTACGCTACGCTTATATGGGAATATATAACGTTAAATGTATATTAAAGCTGCAACAGTCGGGCCAACCGTGGCCCAGAGTTTGGCCGACCCAGAAAGTACAAATCAATTAAACTGCATTTGACAAAGTTTTGCTAACCGTTGGGCCAACCGAGGCCCAGAGTTCGGCCGACCAAGAAAGTTTAAGTCATTTAAACTGTGTTTCACAGAGTTTTGCCAACCGTTAGGCCAACCGAGGCCCAGACTTTGGCCGACCATGAAAATTTAAGTTAATTTAACTGCGTTTCTTGAGTTTTGCCCACCGTCTGGCCAACCGTTGCCCAGAGTTCGGCCGACCAAGAAAGTTTAAGTCATTTAAACTGAGTTTCACAGAGATTTGCCAACCGTGGCCCAGAGTTCGGCCGACCAAAATAATATAAGCCAATTAAACTGCGTTTCACAAAGTTTTGACAACCGTCGGGCCAACCGTGGCCCAGAGTTCGGCCGATCAAAAAACCGTAAGTCAATTATACTGCTTTTCTTGAGTTTTGCCAACCGAGGCCCAGAGTTCGGCCGACCATGAAAATTTAAGTTAATTTAACTGCTTTTCTTGAGTTTTGCCAACCGTCGGGACAACCGAGGCCCAGAGTTTGGCCAACCGAAACTGAAAGTCTTTTAAACTACGTTTCGATGAGTTGTGCCAACCTTTCTTGCCAAGGTTGGCCTGACGGTTGGTTGAACTCTGCATGTAATGGTTGGCTTGCAAAGTTGGGCCAACTGTGGGCACTAGTACTTGCTAAAGTTGGGCAAACTCTGTCAACTAAAACTTCGCTTGCCAAAGTAAGGCCAACCTTGGGCCAACCTTCAAACTCTGACGGCCAACCCAAATTCCGAGGGGTGAACAACTTCGATATTCCTCGTACACTCGATAGATATTCACATGTATATTCTACGGGTATTCCCATGTTTTCCAGCATATATTCAATATTCTCAGTATTCACTGATATTCTTTAATATTTTCAGTATTCACTTATATTCTTTAATATTTTCTATATATTTCCATATAATCCTAAGTAATCTCCAATATTTTGACATATTCTATAATATTAACGAGCAGTAAGAACATGTTTCAAGAAAACTGTAACATATTTTTACATTTGTCATTTTAAATTTATACGCGTTAAGGCTCCGGAAATTCAAAATCCTCTGCTATTTCGACACTCGAGTTAAAAAACAGAGTCAATTATTGTAAGAGAAGATGCAATACATGAGGACGATTGGTGTGAATAATTTTTCTATTTAAATTTTCGAAATATACAATTAAAAAGATTTTGAATAATTGAAATTTTGTAAAATTTAATTGAAATTAACTAATTTTTTTCAAGTACCGTCAACCGGGGCTATTTTGTGCACCAAATAGCTTTTTTTTGATTCAAAGATTTATTTAAATTCAGAATTAAGAGAATAAAGAAAATCAACTTTTGATATATGTTGTGGACATCCTTCTGAAGGTTTCCTATAAATTTTGCAAAGAAAAAAATTTTTTTGTCTTAGTTATAGTCATTGAAAGTCGTGAACACAATAACTCCCGGGATGGGGCTATTTTGTGCATCGAACTTTGTTTTTCTATAATGTTGCGTAAACAATTTTTTTAATCGTTTCTGCTTCATGAAATCTTTTGTGTATATATTTGAGAGTAAATTAAAAAAAGAATGACCTAGTAAAATTTTTTTTGTAGATATATTATACAAAAAATGTAAAATAAAGCACTAAAATTTTGCTAAAATCTGGATTTACTAAAAATTAACAATCTTTCTTTAAATTGTATATTACGCAGATAGTAAATAAAATTTTTTTCTTTTTTAATATATATTTTATAATAATATACTAATATAATTATAAAATGATCGTTTAAACACTTATAAATAACTTTAAAACATCATTTCAATAGGAGCTTTTTTAATGGTTTTGAATGATATTTTTAAAAAACTTGAAATAAATATTTTTAAGGTTAAATAGATAACATATTAATATCTAATATGACTTTCAAGTTATTTTAAGAGAAACGAGAAAATAGTTTTAAAACTAATTTTAAAAACTTATAAATATTAATTAAAGTTCATTTTTTGAGGTTACGTTGTGCACCGGTAGAGCTTTTAATCGTTTTAATGATTTTAATTAACGTATTTACAGTTTTTTGACAGAAAAGTAAGACAAAAATGTATTAAAATGATAAACAGAATCTTCTTTACTTACTAAATAAAATATTTATGAAAAATATTTGATTTTTTTAAGTGCACAAAATAGCCCCATGGAATACTGGTTTTTCAGTTTTTTCCACTTTTCTCTTAAAATAATGAATAAAAAGTTAGCGCATTACGTAAGTATCATCACAACACAATTGAAAACAAATATCTAACACAGTTTATGAGACACATTAAAACTCTAGAAGATCTGGTATAATTTTTCCGAACTTTCAAAATTTTTTAAACAAATTTTCCGTTTTTAGGAATTTTTTTCTCTTAATTGCCAAAGAATTAAATAATAACATTTAGTGCTCTCTATTGTCATGTAATCCAACTTTCATTTAACAAAATAGCAGATTAAAATAATTCATTTTAATAATTTTTTTCATTAAAAAACTCGCGTGCACAAAATAGCCCCCGGATGCACAAAATAGCCCCAGTTGACGGTATTTTATTACAATTTTCGAAAATCAACTTTTGAAGATTGCAAATTTTGAAAATAATATAATTATCAAAAGAGTTAATGAAAAATCTTTAAATATAAATTTAAAAACAAATTTAGCTTCTAATTTAAATTTTTTTTTAAAATTCAATATTTTTAGTATTTTTAAATACACATTTCCATTAATTTAAATACATACAAAAATAATAACTTTTTAGAATTACTTTTAACATTTTGGAGAAAAAAATCATGTTCAAGATTTTTAATTAAAATTCATCAAAAAATTAATTAGTTTTCTTTAAAAACAAAAATTCTTTTAAGAAATGAAATTATCTTTAAAAGATTTTACCAAATTTCAATTGTTTGGAAATTTTTCAATTGCATATAAATAAAAAAACTACTTATTTTCTTTCAAAAATTATTTTAAAATATTAAAAAAAATTAATTGTAAGAATTTCTTTATTAGTTTTTTGAAAATATTATACCTTAATAACTAAAGAAAAAACATGGACAGTTATAAGAAATTGAGTTTTGCATTTAAATAATTGAATTATTCTAGAAGAACTATCGGAAAATTATTTAAAATAATTGAGTCAGATATGAACCCAGGTGCGATTTTTTGGTCGGCCCATAGTTGGGCCAACTTTTACAAAGTCGGTCCAACTTCTCGTGCCAGAGGTTGGGCCAACCTTATACAGATGATAACGGTTCGCCGTCTAATGGCGACGATGGTTGGCCCGACAACTCATAGGGAAGTTGGCCCAACTTACAATGCATATGTTGTGCCAACTATACATTTCAATGGTTGGTCCAAAGACTGACGCCAAAGTTTGCACAACTTTAGATGCGTAAGTTGGGCCAACCACAATTTTCAAAGTTTGGCCAACTTCAACTGCCAACGGTAAAAAATTATTAAAAAACTAAATTATTTATACAATTATCACGTTATTATTAGCGGGAACATCAGATATGACCTTTACCTATTATTATTAAACACAATCTCATACATACATTTTCGAATATATCTAACGCTCACTGAGATCGAACCCCATACCTAACGCACCAAAGACTTATACACTGACCACTACGCTACGCTTACATGGGAATATATAACGTTAAATGTATATTAAAGCTGCAACAGTCGGGCCAACCGTGGCCCAGAGTTCGGCCAACCAAGAAAGTTTAAGTCATTTAAACTGCATTTGACAAAGTTTTGCCAACCGTTGGGCCAACCGTGGCCCAGAGTTTGGCCGACCAAAATAATGTAAGTCAATTAAACTGCGTTTCACATAGTTTTGCCAACCGTCGGGCCAACCGTGGCCCAGAGTTCGGCCAACCAAGAAAGTTTAAGTCATTTAAACTGCATTTGACAAAGTTTTGCCAACCGTCGGGCCAACCGTGGCCCAGAGTTCGGCCGACCAAAATAATGTAAGTCAATTAAACTGCGTTTCACAAAGTTTTTCCAACCGTCAGGCCAACCGTGGCCCAGAGTTTGGCCGACCAAGAAAGTTTAAGTCGATGAAACTGCGTTTCTAGAGTTTTGCCAACCGTTGGGCCAACCGTGGCCCAGAGTTCGGCCGACCAAAAAACTATAAGTCAATTATACTGCTTTTCTTGAGTTTTGCCAACCGTCGGGCCAACCGTGGCCCAGAGTTCGGCCAACCG